CTCTCCTCTAGCTGCATCCTTTCACGGCATTTATTTAGATATGTGTACCCCATTTTTCCTTTCAATGTGGACTCAAAGTGACTTTTGACATCATCATCTCCAGTTTTATCCTTACAGCAACAACCCAATGAGTAAGGTTAGGCTGAGAGAAAGAGAGAGTGACTGGCCCAAGGTCACCCAACAAGTTTCCATGACAGAGTGGGGATTCAAACCTGGGTCTTCCAGATCCTGGTCTAACATTCTAACTGCCACACCTCACTGGTTTTCAAGTATGTTGTGGGAGCAAGCTGTTAGGGGAGAAGAGACTGGCAGGGGGAAGATGGACTGAGATGGATTGTCTCTTGTTTGCTTCTTCTCCACTTCCATTCATAATCTCTCATACTGCTGTGTCTATAACTATATCTCTACCTATCTATCTAGGAGCAGGACATCCCATTTCTCTGAACTGGTTATAGAGCACTTGAAGATATACAAAGCAGTCATGAACATGAGAGGTTTTTTTCAGCTTAACTTGGAATAGAATGATGAGAGTTTCAGAAGAAAACTATTTCTAATCTCCTCTAATCATTATGGTAATGATTGGGCACAGCTGCCCATTTTGCTAACAAAACAATGGCTTCAAAGTATACATGCAACAGTTCTATATGAAATTCATAGGTGTAATAACAAAGAATTGAAGGCAATTTGTTTTCTTAATGGGTACTTAAGATACTAATTGATAAAAGAAACTAACTGGCTTTGATTATGGAACAATAGTAAAGAATGGAGGAGAATGCACTTGCTTAGAAATTAACCCCAGAATGTTTTACTCATATAAAGTATTTGTTATCCTGACTGCAGAAGAATTCATGTTATGGAATTTCTACAGAAAATGTGATGGGGGGATATACCACCACCAAATGTAAAAGTACTTAATGTTCATGAATAAGTTTGTAAATGAAATTGTTCCCCAGGCCATAGAGAAATGTCTGCATAATGATGACCTCATTGATGACCAAAAGTTATGTGGGAGCTGTTTAAAAACTAATTCTGTGAGGAGGGAGGTAGCTTTTTGAAGTTAAGCCCAGAGTCACCACCTTTATATGATTATCCCTTTTGATGCTACCTTTAGGGCATAGGATCTATTGTGACATGTGTGGTTCAATCAAGCAGTGGTGGAAAATTGAAGCCATGCTGAGGTTTCCTCCTCAAGTTTATGTTGCCTCAGTTTCCTGAAGGGTCAGGGGAGTGCAGGAAAGAAACCACAACATAGGCTCCTCCCATATGGCCAAAGCCTTGTTATGTTACTTGAACAACCCCTATGCCACAAACATAACAAGATCTCAGAAATCCACAGAAGCAGAGGAATGATGATACTGGGCTTAATCAGATGGTCCAAAGCTATAGAGGACGAATCCATACTCGCCATCACCAATATGGAGACCACTTCTTTAGGGTTTCTATCCATATCATTTCGGAAACATGAATACTAGAAACATGTGGATGGTGCTAACAGGTAGCTTCTTTCCACACAAATGTCAACTGTGGTGACAGGTGACACATGGCAGCCTTGCTACCATTCTGCTGTTAGTCAAGTGCCTTCTGCAACTGTTTTCTCATTCTCATTTTCCTTTCTCTGATTATTTACCATAATTGGGAAGGGGTAAGCATCTGGTTTATCAGCTGTCACTGACATTACTGATTCGCTATAAGGAAGAAGAATTCATGTTATGGAATTTCTACAGAAAATGTGATGGGGGGATATACCACCACCAAATGTAAAAGTACTTAATGTTCATGAATAAGTTTGTAAATGAAATTGTTCCCCAGGCCATAGAGAAATGTCTGCATAATGATGACCTCATTGATGACCAAAAGTTATGTGGGAGCTGTTTAAAAACTAATTCTGTGAGGAGGGAGGTAGCTTTTTGAAGTTAAGCCCAGAGTCACCACCTTTATATGATTATCCCTTTTGATGCTACCTTTAGGGCATAGGATCTATTGTGACATGTGTGGTTCAATCAAGCAGTGGTGGAAAATTGAAGCCATGCTGAGGTTTCCTCCTCAAGTTTATGTTGCCTCAGTTTCCTGAAGGTTCAGGGGAGTGCAGGAAAGAAACCACAACATAGGCTCCTCCCATATGGCCAAAGCCTTGTTATGTTAATTGAACAACCCCTATGCCACAAACATAACAAGATCTCAGAAATCCACAGAAGCAGAGGAGTGATGATACTGGGCTTAATCAGATGGTCCAAAGCTATAGAGGACGAATCCATACTCGCCATCACCAATATGGAGACCACTTCTTTAGGGTTTCTATCCATATCATTTCGGAAACATGAATACTAGAAACATGTGGATGGTGCTAACAGGTAGCTTCTTTCCACACAAATGTCAACTGTGGTGACAGGTGACACATGGCAGCCTTGCTACCATTCTGCTGTTAGTCAAGTGCCTTCTGCAACTGTTTTCTCATTCTCATTTTCCTTTCTCTGATTATTTACCATAATTGGGAAGGGGTAAGCATCTGGTTTATCAGCTGTCACTGACATTACTGATTCGCTATAAGGAAGAGACATCCTTCCATGGCAAGAGTCTACATGAGGCCTACAACAGCAGCAATAAGCTGTATGATATGTGGGGTTGTGACCATTTTTTCTCCCTGGCCTCATATATCTTCAGAAGCTTCTAGATAGATGGGCATGTAATAGGTGCAGTTGTACCCAGCATATAAGAATAGTGACAGGAAAGCTACACCTGTTACTTCTCTGTCTCTCTTGCAGGTTTCAAAATCAAAGGGCTTCCATAAAACCAAACTGTGGATGCCTCCAGTGCTTTGTAATGCTGTTAGAATCATGCCACGGCTGATAATTGTTCAATTAAAGCCATGACTAACTATGGTTCTGTTTTGATGACAGCCTATAAACCTCAAATGTCTTTATGATGGGACATATCATGAGTATCCAAGTACTGGGTTCACCATATATCTCACCACAACTGAGAGTCTGCATTTTGCCTACAGCTTTGTCACTGGAGCACCACGATGGGCTATGAGGCAGGTCCCAAAGCTCAATATCCTCTTAGCCTCTCCATCTATGATCGATGCCACTGTATTCATGATTAGTACTAGCACATTAAGTCAAAAATGTTGTTGTCATAATTTGGACAAGATAAAGGTGAGATTTGCAGAGGGGAAAAAACCTAGCAGATACTGATAATCAACTAAATAAGCACAGAGGAGTGGCTGTCTGAGGAAGCTACTGGCCTTGGTGTTGCCTCTTGCATCCTTATTCTTTTAGTGTGCACCTGTGCCTTGTTGACATGTACCCCAGCCCCCTACATTGCATATATATATATAGTTTGCACTGTTCTAAACACTGGCTGTGTAGAACGCTATATAGCACCACGTGACCATGGACATTCTCACCCAGAGTGTGTATTTTTGTGTCTATACACCAGCCCTCCTAATCACAAGCCCAGGAAAGCTCTGATGGGGAAGCACTCTAGTTCCTTCTTGTAGAATAATTATACTGCTAGGTAAGCAGTGTACCGTAGATAGCTGTGGCTGGGAAGGGCTGTGGCTCAGTGCTAGAGCTTGTGTTTCACATGCAGAAAGTCTTGGCTCCAATCTCTGTTATTTCCAGTTAAAAGGAACAAGTGGGAGGTGATGTGGAAGACCTCTACCTGACCATGGGTGTCTGCTGCCAGTCAGAGTAAACACTGGTCTCAAGAGACCAGTGGTCTGTCTCAGTATAAGTCAGCTTTATGTGTTCATGTATATACACTATATGTGTGTCAGGGAATAGGTTTTTAACTGTATTCCAAGACTTTATCCTGGCAGTCTGGCTTTTGCCACATTTGTGGGAAACTGTTTCATGATTGCTGAGCATTACTGGAGACACTATGGGAGTGACTGTCAATGTTTCTCTATTAGCTTTCATTTCTAAGGCAATTCCTATATTTTTTAAATTTTGTTGCCAGAGAAGCATATGACTGCTACTATATTAGCACTGCTCTGGAATCATGACCACCTGGTGTAGTGGGACCAGAGAAAGAAGAAACCCATACATATAATATGGTCACATCAGGCCCTCCATGACATGAAGCCCTGCAGCTGTCAATACACTTTAATGCTGGTGGCTAGTTAAAACTCTTGGAAATATTAAGCTTGGAAGCTCATTTCAGTTTTAACATAATGAAGATTTAACTTAATAAAATTCATACTGACATCTCTATTGGAAAAAAGAAATCCACAGATTTCCTTTGAAGTATACATCCTTTTTTGTTCACACTTCTGAATAATGTAAGATCTCTTTGATCTTAAGAAATTTCCAAAGAGGGTTCTAAAGCAATGACAGACAACAAAGACGACTGAAATCTCAGGCGTTTAGGTTAAAAGGCAGGTGCATGAAAGACCTACTTCTGAAGATGGATACTCATGATGAATACTTTTCTTAGCAATAAATAGTGTATCACATTAGCAGAGACTTTATTGAAAAAACAGAGTTCACCTGGGTGAATTTTTTTTTAAAAGATGCAAAATAAATGTTGACTTCAAGCATCAAAAATAAATAGTGGTTATCAGTTTTAAATTTAAAATATTGTTATAGGATAAACTGGCATTGATATCTTACACCATAAAAATTAGCATACAGATGTGTGCGCACACATGCACACGCACACACATAGAAAATAATCAAACAGCTGTTATAGATACAAATCCCTGAAACAGGGTATGTTTTCCCTTATGATTGGCTGATATAGCTGTAATGATGTCTCCACCTAAATCCCAGTTTACAAACTGTGAGTCAGTGCTGGGAACTCTTGTTTCCTTACCACATCTCCTCTTTTCTTTGGAGTAAATCCTCTCCATCTGGGGCCCAAATCATTGGCACAGTTAATTCCTGTCAACGTTAACCGATGCTCCCCCTAAATAAGGATCTGATACCAGTTTCATGTCATGAGTTTAGATCCTTGTATTCATCCTGATAGGATTGTACAGGAAAGACTATGCCCAAAGTCTGTGCCAATATACCCTTCAGTTTAATAACACAAGATCATATAGTGGGGCTGAATCTGAAGTGGAAACACACATGTTTTTTGATTATCTTTACAGAACTGATTATCCTTGCCAAATTTCCAAAAATTATTTGATACTGGGATTAAGCACTGAAGCTTTTGTTAGATTCTGCTTATAGGAACAGTACTGGGAAAGTTAAATAGATTGCCAATTCTGATGTTAAGTTTCTCACATGCATATTCCTGAGACAGTTTCCAAAAGTAATCACAGTTCTAATGAGCACATGTGTTTTTCTAGCATGGGACACTGAAATAAGGCAAACATAAGCAAACAATGTACATGGAAAGTGTAGCTCAATATGAATAAACCTCACCAATATTTCAAATTTACATTTAAAATACCAATGGCAAGAATGAAAAATTAAGAAATGCCCTATGATTTCATTTGTAAATGATGTTAAATCCACTGGCAATCCATGGGAAATTGTAGATAACAGTCCATGGGGACTGTGACCTCTGTTCCCCACGCCCATGGCCTCCTTCTAGAAAAGCAAACAATACCAAGTCACAAACCAAAAAAGCCTCAGTGAAGCAGAATAGGGTCTCAAAGAAGGGAGGAGGGTAATTGCAGGGTCCAAGTTATACAGTTTTGTTTCACATGATGCTTGGATTGGATCTGGGTGGTGTTTGATGGAGACAGACTACACATTCACGTGGGGACCTGTGACTTTCAGCAGCCCTGAGCCAGAATATTATGGAATGGCAATCTTAGTATATTACAAAATGCAGAATATTGCAAGTATATTCCAGATGCAGAAACCGTTCTAATTGTGATCTGGATATTTTGTAAGTGATGTTATAAATTAAAAAAGTTGATATTTAGAACGCTCATCACCAAGCTACAGACTATTCCCTTTCACAGTCTACTGTAATTAATTTGAGGCCACAGGGAAATTGGCATATGCCAGACCCAGGGCTTGACTAGATAATAATATGTCAATATCATCATGATGACGAAGATGCCAAAAGTGAAATAGTTTATTGGACCACCTTTCCACTGAAGAATTACAATGAAAATGTA